TACTATACATACAACACTATACCTATATTATTATTGTCTATCTATTACAATACCGTAACCTATAACACAATATTATCATTCGTACAATAATATATTACACAAAATAAATTGATATGGCCAGTAACTGCAGTACTCCAAACCGTCAAATTAGATTGTCTATAATGATTATTAGCACATGCAATAATGATTGTAATTCATAATTGCATTTGTTTAAGGTTAAATACTAAATTGGTATTTAAGTGCATAAAGAAATAGGTAATAATTGTATTCAAATTATTTACTATTTTCATTTATTTTGTTGATGCTCTGATCGAAGTCTAAAATGTACAATATTTTAATTAATTATGTACTTTGTTTGATGTTACAGCGTTATTGAGTTCCAAAACCTTTTTTAATAGAATAAACAATAATAACTAAAGACCGGATTTAGCATATTATGCATATTCATATTTTTATAAGCTATTACATGTAGTAAATGGATTTTCATCAATCATAGTTAAACAAATAATGTTACAAATTTTTATTTTGCATATTTTTGCATATTTTGGGTACAAGTGCATATTTTCCATAAAAATGCATGTTTTTGCATATTACGTATATATTTAAATATTTTTATTTAATTTTATAACTGTATGTACCATTATTATACACAAATTTGTTCAAAACATAAAAATTGAAAATATTTTTAAAAATATAATAGGCAGATTGTATACTGATTTTCCCGTCGTATAGTTTTATCTTATCTAACATTATCAAGTTATCGACTATCGTTTATTTATACTACAGAACACAGACTGACAGACTAACGACTGTAGTTCGAAGTGTACATTCGGCAATAGTCAACGACGTCAACGTAGTTCTAAATAAACACATATTAATTTTATATAACATTGTTTGTGTTTTTAAATTACAATGCCAATAATGTCAGAATATAGAATAATGCCAATAATATCATGCCAAAATGGCCAGAGGGAGGTAATGACGAAAAAGTTTTGTTGATGTTATCCGATGCAGCCCCATATATGGTTAAGGCTGCCAAAAATTTAAAACCATTTTATTCCAATCTTATTCATGTGACTTGTGCTGCTCACGGGATTCATCGGATTGCAGAAAATATTATGGATATTTTTCATGAAATAAACGATTTAATTAACAACGGAAAAAAGATTTTTTTGAAAGCTCCTTATAGAATTCAATTATATCATGAAATGCTACCTAATAAACCATTACCGCCCCAACCTATAATAACACGATGGGGTGCTTGGTTAGAATCAGCAATATTTTATGCAGATAATTTCGAAAATTTTAAAAATGTTATACAAAGCCTACCAGAAGACGATGTAAAAAGCATTAAAAACTGTAAGCAAATTCTAACTAAATCAAATATAATTAACGATTTAACTTATATTAAAACAAATTTTTCGGTTATTGTTGAAAGTATTAAAAAGCTTGAGACTTCAGGTTTGCTACTCATAAATGCTTTAGAAATATTTGAACAAGTTACAAATGCTATCAATAATCTTTCAGAAAATGAAAATAGCGTATTAATTAAAAAAAAATGTTCCGACATTATTAAAAAAAACAAAGGCCTGCTAATTTTAAAAGAAATTTCTAAAATACACCAAGGTGAGAATGTTGACTTAAGTTCTTCTATCAAACACTTTTCCCCGGAAATGTTGTCAAGTTTTAAATATGCACCCATAACAAGTGTTGATGTGGAACGAAGTTTTTCTGCATACAAACATATTGTCACAAATCGCCGTCATAATTTAACTGAGATCAATATGGAACATATTATTGTTACTTATTGTTTTTCCAATAACAAATAAATTTTATATTTTTTATCACAATCATAAATTCATAAAATATATTGTATATAATATTGTAGTTTATTATTTTTTTTTCATCATAAATGTTTTGATTTTATAAATGTTCCATAAATAAAAAGCTGTAATAGGTAATAAAAATTTATTTTGCATGTTTTGTGATATTTAAGTGCATATTTTCGTCATAAATGTTTTGATTTTATAATTTTACCATAAATAAAAAGCTGTAATAATCAAAAATTATTTTGCATGTTTTATGATTTTTAAGTGCATATTCAGAACTTTTTAAGTGCATATTTGCATGCATATTTTAACATTTTAAATGCATATAAATCCGGTCTTTAATAATAACAATTACAATAACAGTTGAATGTGTATTTAATTACACATAAAATTGATTTGTAATTAAAGTAAATTCATAAGAACTTGATCTGTATTTTTTGTTTAAGTGCCTATTGATTATACTTTTAACATGTTATTTATTTGTATAATATTTAGTTTGCCATCAAAATTAAAATGATACACATCATTTTTGTTTAGAATTGGTCGACAGATAATTACTATTTCGTTTTAAATATATGACAACCAATTATTAAACAGTACTTATATAAAATTAAATCCATGAAAACTATATATGCGCAGTGTACATAATTGTTAGTCGATTATATAATAGTGTTTAGTTGCAATCGGTCGATCCTCACTTCTCGAATCAGTGGCGTATATACGAATTATTTTCACTATGGGCCTATTTATCAATTATCACTAGTCAAGNATCACTAGTCAAGTAGCATAGCCATAATCATAGCCCATAGGTACATTTTTAAGGGAGCAGCTGCGTGGTTATATAGTTAATAATTATGACATATTATACAGTGTAAATAAAAATTGCGTAATTCAATTTTATAATTATTATGTAAAATTAATTTTTTGTTTCTTTTTTAAAAATATTGGCAGTGTCGTTTATATATTTTAATGTTATCTTACTATGAATTTAACATCAAAGTCAATAAGTCATTAAAGCAAGTCCTGTGAATATAACATTTCCTTGTTGATTCCTCAAAAATGACTTTAATCAACCGGCTAACTAAATCATGGTGAAAAACTGTAAACAGTGTAAATATACATGCAATGCTTTAATTGAACCTGCAATTTCACTATGGGCTCTGGCCTAGGGGGCCTCCCCCCTATATACGCCACTGTCTCGAATGCTTTTCTTTTGACAGATTTTTTAGTACAAAAAGCAAAGTTAATCACTACTAAGGTATTAAAATATATTTTTCTTTTATTTCAATCGATTGATGGATCACTCACGTTTTGAAAACGATTAATTTAATTATCCAATTTTTAATTTTTTACTTAACAATTCGGTGGACATCGTGTGTTTACATTTAATAGAACGTATTTTTCTCAACACCATTATACTAAGGCAGTAAGTCACTCACGCGATTATAACTGAGTCATGCGGAAACACAATTTTAAGGTCGTTTGGATACTCAGATAAAATATAATATAGGGCGCAACAACATAATATAACGTTCGAGGATAAAGAATCATGTTTGTTTTCAAATCATATCATATGTATTGATAAGGTGGGGAAAGCTAATAGATACACTGAAGTGTTGCAGTGTTAGTGACAAATTGAATAGATAATATTTGCATGTATCTTCTAGATGTTGGATACTCATACTCGTACATAATATTATTTAATAATAAATCTTTAAATTATTGTTTCACTAAAATGCCTGTTGATATATTTTATTATATTATATTTATACATATTTTATTTTACCAAAAAGCTATCGCCGACAGTAATAATTCAAAATACATAGTGTAATGCAAGTATACCTACAAGTATATGTGTTTACATTTCACAGCGTATTTCTCCTTGACTGTAAAATATTATGATACATCCACGATCGTAACTAACTACTAAATAGTTACAGGGCCACAGGCGCTGGAGTCCTAGAAAATATAAGTTTGAAATTAGCCATAGAGTAAAAATCTCTTATTTCTCCATTCAAATTGTTTTCTATAAAATCAAATTTAAACAACAAAGTATGTACCGGTATATTATATTTTGTATCTTATGGTAAGCACACATGATATTTTATGGTATTGTAATAATTTAGAGGAAAACATTTTTAAAAATATATCATTAATCTTTTCTTTTTCTAATTTCTATATTTATAAAATTAGGAAACTGAATCTATTTTTTAATATGACCGGCCTTGTGAATGTATTAAATATGTTCTAATTCTCTTCGTACATGAAAAAGAACCAATCTCATATTTTACATTTCTATGTGTCACTAATATAATTGTTTCACTGTTTCAGCGAAAGCTGGAATAACCAATAATGCACATAAACATTCAAAATATTAATATCTGTTGTGTACAATAACGTTATTTATGATATCATTAATTATAATATGTGTTGAACGCATGACAAAGTTTTTTTTTCAAAGACTGGGGTAAATGCCAAGTATGGGGCTAAAATCGTCTATTGGGAATTGGGATACTGAACCCCCCTAGCAATCCCCACATTATTTATGCCGACGTGTTCATATACTAATAATAATTATGATGGACTAATCATCATAATCGTACGGTCCTCTATTTTACTAACCTTCGTATACACAATATAATATTATTATGAATATATGAATAATATGAAGTTTGTATATTATTTTTTTATTGAAAATATGTTATAGTTAAACAAGTGCATATTATAAATTATTTAGACTAAAGTCAAATACAACAAAACCAATATTATATCGGTTTGCAAACTGTGGAAGTCACATATTTTGAGAAATGTTCAATATTTACATAACTCTTTATCGTTTGTTGACGTGTTAATTATATTATGAATATATTATGTATATTATGAACAAAACCTCCCATCAACTAATTTAAATAGAAAATCCCTATTAATTATATAAGAAGCTAAACGATTTACCTACTATAAAATCACACTATGACTAATTATTTAATATCTGCTAAACATAATAAACAAGATATGTCCTATCTTGAAATGGTAGTTTAAACAACACATTTTACATTATTTGAAGCATATAGAATGATACATCAATAACACGAAAAGTAAAAATAATAATTAATATAATATAATAATATATAATATGTGTACCTGCAACAATCGTGTAAACATAATACTTATAACACGTTAGTAATATATGTTTCTCTAACTATTACGTTATTAATTATTATTATTATTATCATCATCATCATCATCATCATCATCATCATCATTGTATACAATATGACTTTTATAATATTGTATCGCGAAATTTAAATTTAAATCGAAAACATTATCGGTTTGTAGTGAGCTCGTTGATCTCATTATCGTTCACGTTTGAAACAGATGATCGTGCTAAGTACGATTAAAAATAATATTGCAAAAAGTCACTCGACCGGAACGCACTGCACGTAGGTATGGGTATTACTATTATTATATATTTATATCAGTGCAAAGTTCTTTGCTCCGGAAAAACGCAGTGCACTTGCGGTGTACCTACACAACAAACAGCAGCGGTCCATTTGCAATTCGATGGCAACGGAGAGATTAAAAACAAAACGGCATTTGTCGTGAGTGTTATGAATTAAAATAATATATATCTCGGCCTTAACAATATCTAAGGTTCGTTAATCGCACGGTATTTGTATTTTTAACAACGATATTCCTGTAAAATATTATATTTTTATAGGTACAGTCGATCGCGGCATGGAGAATCCGCGGACACCACCGCCGAATATTCGTTGTCATGATTTTGAGCCATAATAACATTGTTCGATGGTTCATCGATATGACGCAAATAATGAATCTGGATGATGTTTTTAATCGTAAATACTCATTATTTCGAAAAGTAAAAATGTTTTGAAAATATTTCAATTTTAGAGTTATCGGTTGTTATTGTGTTTTTCAGGTTTTAGTTTTTTGAATGACGTCATACATTTTAAATTTCTTATCCCTAAGCAGATAATATAATATTTCTGAGAATTTCAATATTTTATGATTTTATAAATTACAATTTTATCGAGTTATTAATTACTCATAACTTAAGTATTTAAAGTTAAATTTCACTATGTCACTCCACTCTGTCCATCTCAACTTAGAAAATATTTAATACTAATTAGTGACTAGTTAAAAATTTTCAAAAATGTATTTTTCTTCAAAATATGAAATTAAAATAATTTTAAAATATGTTGTTTCGTGTGTTTGTAATGACTTCTCGAACACTTAATATAAAAAAAATGTTTTCGAAAATGCTAATTCCTTATGAGACAATGAGTGTTTGCTGTTAAAAAAAATCTCCCTGTATACAATGATGTGTATTCTCGACTTGACAAAAAACTTACATACGCACATTCGCAGATTACGCGAGATTTTTAAATATAGGTCAACACAACATATTATTATTGTTATGTGTTGTGGACGTCTCGCGATTCGGGTGAAAATAATAAGATGAAACGCGCAATAGTTATTGTATTGCACCACTTCGAGCATTTGTTTATGAATTTATGACAGATATGACAGTAATACAGGTCCAGAAGGGATTCTGGGAATCTTCTAGAATTCTAGAAGTCTACACAAACATTAATAATTTATCAATATTTATAATATTGTCTACATTACACATAATTATACCTATTAGTATTTACATTTATCAATTATCATTAGCAGTCGGCGGGTACAAGGTTTAGTGGGTACAAGATTTTGTTTATGATTCAGCTGCTAACATTTTATTGCGGATTTCTAAAGCACAATCGCTAAAAATAATAAATACTATAAATTATAATAATCGTTTTTATTTTTTATCATATCATTGAAATTCTTTTAAAAAAGGGCTTTCAATTTATTATTGATTTTGTGTGAGGATAACAGATTATAAGTCGAGTGTCGAAAAATGTTGAAGAATATCTATCTCAGTCGTTCAATAGTGGGTGTACCTATTGCTAGGTATACTATTATGGAGGTTTAGGGTATAGACCATTATTAGACATTGATCGGTGGAATCGCGCTCCAGCTGGATTTGGCGAAATATCGGGTGTGTGCGATGCGAAACTATACGTCGAAGAGCTCGTAATGATTATGGTCATTATAGCGCGCAACAGTCGAATCAGTTAAGATGAAAATGTGAGCAGAAAAAATGAACGGCGGAGGTCGGACTATCGATGCGAACATCGGCCGAACAACAATAATATATTATTATAATAAATATTGTGCACGCGCCGCTGTGCGAGCCAGATGACGGGCGAAAAAAAAAAAGAAAAACGAATAGAAACGAAATAAAAACCGCCAGGAATAGATTCGCGTTCGGCACAGTTTTAGACGGCTCCAAGGTCGGCGGCTCTTTTCAGGTGTGGGTCTTTATTATAATAACGATCGTTTCGCGTGTCCGTGGTTGTCTACACACGTTGTCATCACAATAGGTACGTACACAAAATCGACTTATTCATAATAATAATAAAATATTTTGACGACCGTGCTGGCGATGGCCACGTCCGACAATTATAGACCACAGATAATATGTATAAAACAAGTTTTATATATCTGTGTTATAGACTCCTCAGCCTCGGTGTACACAGAATCGCCAACGACGATAAGGCCGGTTGCAAGCCTCCTCCTCCGCGTTTTGATCGGCCGGACCACACTTTCTATACCATGTCTATCAAATGGTAAAATCCCGCGTTACTTACCGAAACCAAAATATGTGAAACCACAGCGCCGTGAAGCTGAAATATCGCATGTTTTTCGTAATGTGATAACAATACACTGTATGTTTGATAATATTATTATGATTGACGAATATGAAAATTGTAAATGATAATAACAGGACACGAAGCATGAAAATGGGCCGACCGATTTAAAAACCAAAATAACGTGTAGTGGACGACGGAGCACGACAAATCAGCAATATTTCGGATTAAAGGGTTAAATTGCACGATAATATCTGGGAATAATAGACAACTTTTAGTCAAATCCAGCGACACATACAATTTCCACAATTTCCTTAAAAATTAATATTATTTCCGGATAAAAATAACCTAAACACTATCAAAAATTTCCTTGAAAACAAATACACTACTGTTAAGAAATCGACTGTTTAACTTACAGCATTTTGAACGATTTATTTTAATTAAACTAACAATAATATAAAAACTAAATTTTAAACTATTCCATTATCTCATCTAGATGATTGCATTGCAAAATATCTGTCATATAATCTAAATAACTATTTAAGTATTTGTGAATGACACTGTGACCATACTAGCATACTGCAGTTCATCCATATTCGATACTTTCCGGATTTATATAAATATCAGGAGAACTTCACCAGAAAGCTTAATAGTAATAGATGAAAGTAAAAAATCTTCATCTTGAACAGCCAGATGACGTATATATAAAAAGGCAATGTGTGTGTAGTTGAGATTAATAAACTCAACAAAAATTTGAAAGATTGTTAAAAAGGAAAGTTAAAAAATAGTTTGAACCACATCCAAATGTTGGCGCTAGAGGCTAGACAAATTTTTTTTAATTTTTGTTAATTACATTCGTAACTTATGCATGCTTTATAACTTCGTATTTACGCCATTTTTGTTAATGATTCGAAACTTCATTCGAAAACTACTAATTAAAAACTTAACACATGAGAAAAAAATATACAGGAACATTTAATTAATGTGGAATATAAGGTTAAATTGAAAAAAAACACTTAAATCGTTAGTATATATTTATTATTTATTATTTATTATATTATTCCACACCTTAACCACTCACACACCGGGCAAAATTTTTCAAGAGCGAAACCGAGTGATTAGGTAGTACCAAAATTATATGATAATAATATCTAAGATAATTATAAGAGAACACTCCGACAGCCGTCTTTTTAATATTATGCTAAACAAATAAAGACCTGCCCACCAAATTACTGGGCGATACACTACTGAAAAAATGTACATAACATATTATAGATACACCTATAACAGATCATTATATATACATCATGTTATATATTTATATATTTAGGTATTGTTCACTGTGGCAATCCGCGGAATAGTGTTCCTCTTAGAGATTTAAAGTGTTTGCTGGATGTACTCGAGAGAATGGTACCGGTTTATAATATGTATAATTTTCGCATTCTTTTAAGAGTAAACCCCCATCTGCTAGTGTCGGTCACTGTGGAAAACATAAGCGGCAAAATGAGATTTCAAAAAAAAGTCGTATCGTAAACTCCGAAATCTAACAGTACGAAAGCATCAAAATCCTAGTTAGTATCAAATAACAGGTATTCAATTTAGAACTATATCGTAACTATATAAGATCAATTTTACGTGGCTCGTTGTTCTGTTTATAATTGATGTATTATTAAAATTACAAAGTGAAACATATTTATTTATTTCTCCTTCTAACAAAAAACTAAGGATATCTCACTAAGAAATAATTGTACAATGAATAAATACCAGTGCAGTGTAATAGATCGTATAGAATGCCTGAATGCGTACAAAAGTGGGATTACAAAATCAACTGATTTATCAAATTTACATTTATTTGTACGCATACTACTATAAGTTTGGCGCAAATGATATTCCATTTTTGCAACTTTGGTGACTATGTTCATATTAAAGGTGAACAATGACAAACAATCAATGATATACGGCATCACTGCATCAGCCCTCCGAAAAAATTATATGGACGGATTTCCACCTACGGCCTATAACGGCACAACCCCTTTCGCGCAGTCGCTCGGCCGCCGAGCACTTGACCTAGTTCCCAAAATTCTCCCGACGACCCTCACCCAGTTTTTCAGCCGTCCGCGTGCAAGCGCCTCGGCTCGTTTACGATAAACAACGAACGAGCTGGCTCTGTATAATAATTTGATATGGGAATAAATACAGCCCACTTTAACTGGGTAATTTATTATGATATTATGCAAACAACCAAAGTACAATTATTTATTATTGTGTTTTACTGATGTAGCTGATTTCGGCGGATTCGTTGGAAGGTCGTGTCATGGTCCAGAATGCAGAGAATCTTGCATATTATACTAAAAAGTACAACGTTTTGCAAGGAACACAAAAATGTGTATCACAGAGATATTTTATATGAAGAATTTAATTTTTTTTTTATAACTAGAAGTCTACACATTTGAGTACATAATATACCTAAATACCTAATACACAAAAGTGATTACATTTCTAATAAAATTGATTTTATTCGAAGGCATTAATTAAAATCTGTATATACACTGAGAGTTGGAACTAAAAAGACGCATAAAATACATTGTATGCTATGCCTGCAGAACTTGAACTAATAAAATAACTAAAATATTGTTATTTTTGCGTTACATAAAATTATTGATCTCCATAGTCATAAAACATTATAAGTATTTGAATATTAAAGAAAATATAGTTATGAATGTGTTTTTAAATTTAGGCGAGAGGGGTGGAAAAAACATTCAAAAATGTCCGAAATCGTGACTAAAAATATTCAAAAATTCGACGACGACCGTGCCGCGGTACGAGAAAAAAAACTCATTCGATTTGAAACAACTGCAAAGGTAACCACGAGGTTATCGTTTCATATTTTGCATTTTTATGTTTTGCGAATTACTAATGAGATCGAACAATTGTTTTTTTTTTAATTTTATCTCACGATAATTATTAATTATTATAGTTGGGAAATTCCCTAACACATACAATACGTTGTTAGAAATTAATTAGATGTAGACTATATACTTATAAGTAATGGGTGTAAGCAATTGTGTTTAATTATAATGCTTTTAAAATTCCATTACAATATTCATTGAAAACGTTGTCTCTGGTAATAATATACTACATCGCAGCAACTATGAGGCATCCCTATCATTATAATTCACAATCGAATCCTCTTTCGTTTTTCGATCCTGAGCATTAAAATAATATGTGTTGATCGTAGTCTTTGGAGACAAGTCTATTTGATAGCCCGAGTACATAATCGCTCTTATATATACGTCATGATGATGCACCAAGACAATAAAAACCATTTCATATAATCGATGAAATCGGTACAGTCTTGATCGAATGTTGAGTGTAAGACGAATACACACCCCAATATAATGTGCTATAGAATTTGTCTAAGCAAGTTGCAATTGATTTTAAATCGTCAACACCTTTGAAGGCTTTATAGTGCGCATTTGTTGGGTAGGCTAATAATATTAGAGAGCGGATAGTTTTTTTTGGAATCCTAGTGTATAGCAACAGTTTACTCTCAACTAAAAAGGCTCCAATAAAAATTGATAATCTATTTACCAAAAATGTATTGCCCTCCTCAAGATTACACTCCTATTTTGATTAGATTCCGAAGCTGGTCGTAAACATGCAGCTAACTTAACTTTTATTATTATTTTAATAAATGGTCAAATAGAGTCTCCTGTTTATTATCTCAAACTATCTTTAAAATACTTAATTCTGATCATTTTTAAGTATATTCAAGAATTTAAAAATGTGATCTTTAAGTACATACTATTATATTTAAGCATTTTCAAAAATCAGATTTTCAATAACTTTTTGAAGAAAAAAGACCATCATGAATGGTGAACCATATTGTACATGTACACGACATTTATACATTTTATTATAAAATTTCGTTTTCTGGAGAAGCCATATAATATAAAAATCGAAACCGAAACTATTTATAACATATTATATTAAAATATATTTGGGTTGGAAATGAATTTTTATTTGAATATATCTTACGGCGTACTTTTATAAAATCGAAATCTTTTATGGCTTACAAATTAAAATAATTATTATTAAATAATAATGGCGGTGGCACGTGCGGAAAAACAGACTCAAGGCGCATAAATCCACAACTCACTAGACCACAAGTACCTTTTCGGTTAGTCACCTTTTGATTATAGCTTATTTCGTTTTGCTTGATGAAGATTTTTTTCGAATTTAATTTTAACGAACAACAAAACTTATTCCTCGGCATTAAATATATAAACAAACAAAAAAATCACTAAAGTATAATATTCATTTTTGTGATATTGTTTCGACGGCCAATGCGCTTCTATACCAGCCGTGTAATAAAGTATACATCGTTAGGTTAGGTTAGGCATAATCGTTCGACTCTAATATTAGGTATTCGAATAAGTAGAATTACTAAAAAATCATTTATTAATTAACATTAATCTTAAAAATAGCAAAAGAAATCTGAGACTTCAGCACCCACCAATCGCCGGCTGCAATATGTATTTGCACCTGTAATTAATATGTGCCTGGTGAGCATTGGATAACCTATGTGCCCTAAATGGCAATCTGATTCTCTCGTTTTTTACGACGTTATTCGCGTATTATAAACACATTTATAGAGATTATTAATAATATAATTTGCATGCGAATATCGATTAAAAAATAAATACAAATATAAATTACATTTTAATAATCTGTAATAATGTCATATGCTGCTAATTATTTCTGTACATCTACTAAATATTATACGTATATACTATACACTTTATGTTATCGAAGGTTCAAACTAGTGTACCTACTTATGAAGAAAAGTACACTCAACGAGCATGCTCCAAGTTCCTGCTTTATATACATGGATTAGTGCGAGTCTAAAATTAAATGCACCTTACCAATATGCGTGCCTATAATATAATATCATAACTGATGTTCATATATTATATTATTATTGCTTCATTGAAGATCAAAATGCAATGTATTCAAACACTTCGAACTGAAATCATCGAAACGCAGTAAACAACGGCCACACAACATTATAGTAGCCATATGATCATATATACTTAAAACTAACATTTTCGATCACAAAACACTCCTTATCCTTTAAAATCCATGTCACATAATTAGCACTTGAATCAAGATTTCCCGTCCTTTTCCTATAGTTCAAACTAACATTTTCAAATTTGTTTTTTGCAAAAATGTAATCTACCAATCCTATGAACTTTTTAGCTAATTTCGGAAATCCATCTACCACAAAATTCAACAAGTAAGTATTAATAAAATTGGCCCAGCAACAGGTATAGGCTGAGCTTAAGTATGAAAAAAATGAATATTTTCAAAAAATTTTCTGTCAATATTTATATCACCAATTACATGAAATGTCAAGCTGAGTATGGAAACCATATGACGCTCCATCTTCTTTTAAAAACCAAGTCAGTTGACACTTTAAACACAGTTTTCCTTAATTTTCCTAGTTCAAAGTGTTGTACCTAATATGAAATTTAGAATCCTAATACAAGTCCATTATGCATATTTATATCTCGTGTTGATATAATATATATTTAGTTATAGCTTAGTGTCAATAAAGCAGTATTTAAATCGATTGATATAAAGAGAATATATACAGAGAGAATGTGAAGTGTGTACAGAATGAGCCACAGGAATAGGCCAAAAAAAAAGTTATATCTATATATTATTATGGCACTATTCCCGTTGTCCACCCTGTAAGTGTAGATAGGGATATCAATGTTAAGGTAAAGAAAGAAAAAACAAGTTAAAAAAGCTGCTAAATTCCCGTTTTTTAAACATATTTTGGTACAAAACAATTTACTATAATTCAATATATAATTTATGTACAGTAGCTACGGACAGTAAATAAATACCTGATATTGTCAACAATCGTAACTACAAACTATGTATTATTCTGGCAAGTGGTAACTAATGGACGGACGACCAGAAACAATAGCGATGTAAGGTGCTCTAAACTTAATATGTTGAGGAACCTAAAACGTCGACAGTCGTTTAAAATTTAAATCGAATACGGAGTATTGATAATAATATATGAATGTGACAAGTGTAAAAATAATTCAACTATTCAAACATTTCAAACAGATGTAACACTAATGCGAGTTTTTTTTATAAAAATTATAATAATATATTTTTAGTACCTATACCACCATACCGTTATTCGATGGAAAAAATTGTAAGTTCATGTGCGAAGTAAAATAGTAATTACCATAAAATATGAAAGTGTAGTAGTAATTTACAAATACTATTATACTATTGTATTATCCCAGATCGACATAGGTATAATATATACTCGTTTTATTGCATTCGCCCACTAAATTGAACGTCTAACATATTTTTATTATCAAATTATACATTCTACACTTTTTACTTCCAACTATCCGCATATACCTGGATAAAATGCATATAATAATTTAGTATTATAGTACAATATAGATATTATAAATATTTTAAATATAAATAATTAGAGAACTATAAATAATGCAAAAACAAAAAGGAAACATTTGGCATACGATGTAATAGTTTTCTATTTTATTTTATTTGTATTTATATTATTATTTAATAATTATTTGTAAGTAAAAATTGTCGCTCTTTGCCTTCAACACAAGCTTTGCTTTTAAAAGGTAGATAATCGCTTTGTTTATCATGTAATATATTATATATTTATGTAAGAACGATAATTATAAGATAAAAAAAATTATAGATATTCGATGTACCTATTAAGTGTTAAAAAAGATTATTAATTATTGTGCTATTAATTATTACCTACGCCACCATATATACTTACAAGCAACTTTTTTTTCATATAATCAAAAAAAAATATTTTTTTGATAGTTAAACAACAAGGCATAGTTATAAAAAGACTATCGTAACTGCAATAAGCTTGCACAATATATTATACATTTTAATTTTAATTGATTGGCAAAGTTACTAATTTTAGTAACAAATTTATTATGATGTTTGCGCTATTGCTTTTTATTGTTGTAGATTTTTATATTTTTTTTTTATTTAACTGTTGTAAAATTATACAGATGATATAAAACTTAAGAATCTATAAGGACAACTCGATTTTGAAAATAATATAATGATTATAATGTCTTTAAGTTGAATACGAACTTGGAATATTTGTGCTTTTGCAATGATAACTCCCACCGTAGGTATAGTTATAGTCGATATTGGGTTGAATTATGTTTAGTTTACCTACTAAATTAACCCGTCGCAGACGAGTATAGTTAATCGTAGAAAATTAAATCAAACAGACCCGACTGTTGGGTATATCTTGCTTGAATTCGTGGACAAAATTAAATATGTATCATGTACCTAATACTACCTGTATCAGTTTCGACACGTGGCGTACTTTACGTTACTCATAATAATATTATTATACTATACAAACAACACCCATTAAATAATCTCGTTCCATTAGTACGCGCTTAGTTTGGTATTTGCAATTTGCATTAAATATTAGTAGATACTTGCCTGACCCAAATAACGCATTTTAAATCAATTTCATATGTTTATACAATCATCGCTATATAATTAAGTTCAG